AATGAAATTGAAGCAATTTTAATTTTGAAAACCTATTTTTGATTGTTACAACATAATTGTGAATATCATTTTATAAATAATGTATGTACTTTAGAAGAAAAAAATACAATCTTTTGGAATAATGTAATACTTTAATGAAGTGTTATTTTATTCATTAGTGTCATTGACTCATTTCTTTGAGTATCTATAATTCTAGAGTAACTCCAATTTCTTTGATTATCAAATATGTTGATGCAAGTCCTAACGACAAAATGGAGAGAAGAAGAAGTAGGTGGTGGATAAGCTCCATGCAAAGTGTAGATGGCAACCATGCATCTTGCCAACACAACAATAGTATCAAATTTATGATAAGAGTTGAAATTGTAAGAGAGTTGGGCCTCAATGACTCTACACCAAATTTGGGCTATGAAAGTTGGCCCACTCATCCTAGTTTTCATTAAAGTATAAAAGCTTGAGGAGATTCCACAAATATTAAGAATACTTTTGTGCCAAGTTTCACGTTAAATTATGACATATATATGAAAATGTCTATGGTTTTACAAATTTCATCTAATTGAATTTTTAATACTCAATAAAACTATTTCATTCATAAAACAATATATGTCAATTTTTTAATACTTATTGTGGTATTTTAAAAAGTTTAATTTTTTTTTTTGGTTCGTACATGGAGTATCCACCGTTGGTTGGAGGCACCTCAATGGATGGGATAGCTGCCCCAAGATTTAACACGGCTACATACACAAGGCAGGATTCGAACCCTTGACCTTGCTTAAAGGTGGATCAACCCCTACCGTTAAACCACACCTCAATGGATGGGATAGCTGCCCCAAGATTTAACACGGCTACATACACAAGGCATGATTCGAACCCTTGACCTTGCTTAAAGGTGGATCAACCCCTACCGTTAAACCACATGTTTGGAGTTATTTAAAAAGTTTAATTAAACCTAGAGGTTCATCATATTAATTTTTTAAAAAATAATGTTAATCAATTAAAAATATCCTAATATATTATATTTCATGTTGCTACACACATACTATCCCAAACATTATCATACAACAGTCTTACACTTGGATTGTCAATTATTTCTAGCTTTAACACAGGTAATGCTGATTTCAAGTTGGGTACAATTGATTAACTTGTTTTCTACCATCCTTCAACTTAAGGGAGGGAATAACAAAGTTCATAAGTGATGGAGGAGGTAAGGAGGAGTGATTGGATGTTCCTCTCCTATTCTTCACCTAGTCACGGATCTTCTTCAAGGAGATGGAGTCTGAAACTTTGAACACTTGTTGGAGGAAGATTCACGGATAGGAAGAGGCTTAAGCCTTGGATGGAAGCATCCAAGCTTAAGGTGCAAGGGAAAACTCACTTCAAAGAGGAGGAAAACCTAATGGATTCCTAAAAGTGAAGCTCTCTCTCAAGGTGACTTTCAAGGAAAATTTGGGCTGAATAAGCTCTCCAATTTTATTAATCTCAAAAGTGCATACAAAGTGGTAAGGGCGCCCAAAATTTGAATTCAAATTTGAAATTTGAATTCAAATTTTGGCTCCCATGTGCTACTCCGAAATTTTAGGTACCAAGATGCATTTAGGTTTGATTTGAGAGTTATTTAGGGTTAATTTGAGTGGCACATGTTCAGCCACCCATGGTGCTAAACATGTGACTCAAATGTAACTTAAATGACTTCCAAATTAAACCTAGTTTAACCTATTTAGCCTACTTTAGTATTCCTTGTATTTTCCTATTCTAATGACCTAAATACATTGGTCAAACAAATACAATGGAAAGGAAAAATTACAAGAATGAAAATGAGCCCAATATTGGGTACCAAAAGCCCAATGGCCCATGAAGCCAAAACTAGGCCCAACAAGCCTAAAACCTAAAATGTTACTCTATGTGGTCCAAAATACAAGACCAAAATATATTCAAACTATGCTAACAAAAATATAATAAGAAAGTTAAAAACAAGTTAGGCCCATGTTGAAACTAAGTACGGGCCTTCCAAGCCCATAGGGCCCATTGGGCCTTGACTGGCCCAATCTTCTATGTCTAGCCCACTCCTCTTAGATTTTTGAGTGTGTCACCTCTTGTATTTTCAAGTATGATTCCATCATCATTCCCAAGTATGTCAATAAGCCCAACTACAGATGTCAAATCTCTAATGTTGTAATTGAAATAGGATTTGGACTAGTTTCTATTTTTTTTTTTACTTTTAAAGGATATCGGATAGCTTTCTTGCTGAAAGAAGAGCCTATATATTTGCTCACATGAAATAAATCCCTTATTTATTCATTCCGCATTTAATAATAATAACATTATTAAGATAGAAATACTTTTGAGAAAAATTCTCAAATCTTTTTTTTTTTTTGTATTTAAAAATCCTCAAACCCAAAAAGAATGTCAACCCATTCAATATCTATTAAACCTTCAAAAGAAACTAGTCCTATGATAGCAACTCAGAATAGTATTAAAAGGGTTATTAAGGGAAATAATGGTTGAAGAAAACAACTACTGAATAACATCATAAATTTTCATTTCAAACCCAATAAACCATTACAACTTCAAATTTAAAGAACAAGGAAAATAACAGTACTATTATCTCAACCATTCAGAATGAACCAATCTATTGGAAAACTGACGGCTCTAAGAATTAAAGAGGATCCTTAATAATAATCTCTTAGCCAACCAGGTATATTTCTGTTGCGTTTGGGCCTTGGGTGGCCCACCTGATTACTCTGATTTGGGTTGAGTTATTTGGGCCTCTATCACCCTATGTTCAAGGGGAGGTGTTCCTTGTAATAAACAAAAAATAAATAAACTCTCAAACTCTTCTAAAATTTTATGCCTTTCCCATTTGTTTTTCTAGCTCTTTTATTTGAATGATGTAAACAAAACGCTCCTTATATGCCACCTGCCCTTGAGGCATAGGTCGTTACTCTGGTGGTTGCATTTTCTTACTAGGTTTGGAAAGAAAGCCTATAGTTGGTAGGACCCCTCTTATCTAACTAAATTCATGCTTGCTTAGTTATGAGGTAATCAACACACAATCAGAGCTAAGCTTTTAAGAGAGAACAATACAGAGAAAGCAAATTCTAGGGATGAAAAATCCTATCAATACACTCATTAACAAACTCTTCCTAATACAATTCTTATAATGTGAATTTATATGTGGTATTTGACAACTTTTATAGTTAATCTATGGCCTTTAACTAACCTTCTAGATCCTATAGTATTACCATAACTGCGATTAGTCATGAATGTTATTTGAAGTCAAAGTAATATGTTGTTGGTAACGATTTAAATTGGAACTCTGCGGTGGACCAATGATAATATTTTCCTTTCCTTTCTTTTATAACTTTATCTATTCTACCTACACCCAATCAAATCCTGCAATGCCACATTTCTATAAGTACATGATTTGATGACTGAATATAGCATTCTTCGTCCCTGCTTCCCCATTTGGTCCCTCTAAAGGGATTCCACTTTATTAAATTGGTCGAATTTTTTACTTTTCCGTGTACCATCTTGAAACTTTTAATCAAATTGATTCCACTTTTTACTGCTGCAGGAGTGGGTCTCTTGACTCCTTATAAGGATTTTTGGTGTTTCGTAATTTTGATACATTCCAATTTAGTGCTTTTTCCAATTCTGCAATAGTGGAGTTAATTTCATTCTATAGTTCATTCCAATTTGAAAGTTGAAACCCTCAATTCACTACTTTAACTACCACAAAGCTTCCATGTATCAGATTTGCCAGACATGTATTTCACAAACTAGGGTAAAAAAGTAGGCAAGTAGGCCAAATTCTAGATGAAAAAATAATCTGACCAGCACGATATTCTTCATAGGTATGTGTGGTTGAAATTGAAATAAGAACCAAAAACAAAGTAGATTTTGGTCTCCCCCATTCTAGTTTGTTTTGTAGCTTCTAATTCTGCACAAGAAAAATGAAATTGTGACTTAATTCATTTTGTCCTTGCATTAAAAAGATGGTGTCAGAAGTCAATGATCTGTTGCACCATTTCTTTCTTTCTTTTTCTCACATGATTCACCTTTGTTTGAAAAAGATTGTGCACAGAGAAGGCTAAAGTGCACCACTTCCTTCAATCACAATTTAATTATACATTTCCCTCTTGATTACTGTTTAAGAAAGTTATAAGTCTCTTTGCTAAATTATATTTTGCTAAATACATGTATTATTCATGGGTATAATCTGCATACGTGTTAATCAACCTTGGTTGGTAATCCTTGACCGTACTTGGAGTACACTACCAAATGTGAAACCAATTATACAAATGGGTGACTGAGTAATCTTTTATTTATTTATTTTGTCTGTGAAAGTAACAGTTCTATACATATAATTGGAATTGGCTGAATAATCAATTAAGAATGTAAGGAGTCTATCAGTTGGTCGAGAAGTGTGCTTGAATTGTTCTAAATCCATTAGTACCAAGTTCAATTTTCATAAATAAATAAAAAATCATTTATGACAATCACTAATCTATGAATCTAATGGCTGTGTGATGCTTTCAAATCAGATCATCAGCTCAATCAGGTAGTGGATCCAATATACATATATACATATGAATGAAAAAGTCATTGATTCGCACATATTTGAGTCTGTTTTACTTTTTTTTTTTTTTTTTTATATCATTGCAACATAAACATGCGGATCTTATGCTAAAAATTAAATGAACAAAATACATATATGCAGGTGATATTCATTATCGTCGCCGCCCTAGCTTTCATTCATTATTCTTATATTTGTTGTATATATATCTTCAACTACACGTGTGGGTGGAGAAAAGAGACTATGTGAAGTGGAAGCAAAATAACTTGGCTTGGTTATAAAACAAACTCGTATACATATACAATTAACATATATATTTTGTCCGGCACCTTATGATTCATGTGTGTGATGATAACCTTGTGAGTGAAGAAAAATAAGAAAAGAAAAAGACAAAGCCATGGAGTCAAAGACAAGACGACCACCTATCTTTCTCAATCCCTTAGGTCCCTCTCCAAACCGTTTTCTACTAGACTTGTCAACCAACCTCTCTCTCTCTCTCTCTTTTGTTTTCTCACTCTTCCCTATTTTGCAAGCAAACCCATAACCATAACCATAACCATCACCATCATCATCATGGTCATCATTAATTGCCTCCCCATGAAGCTTCTTTCTAATATTTCTCACTTTATAAATTAATCCTTGTGTTGTTGTACACATCAAACCAGTCGGGAGAGGAAATTGCCCTTTGGAGGAACGTTGCGATGAGGAAGCCAGAGGCGTATGGTACTAAAAACAAAAACTGTAGCAAGCTTAGAAAAGGGTTGTGGTCACCAGAAGAAGATGACAAGCTCATGAACTACATGCTAAACAATGCACAAGGGTGTTGGAGCGATGTGGCGAGAAATGCTGGCCTTCAAAGGTGTGGCAAAAGTTGTAGGCTTCGATGGATCAATTACTTGAGACCTGATCTTAAGAGAGGTGCATTCTCACCCCAAGAGGAGGAACTCATCATACACTTGCATTCCCTTCTTGGTAACAGGTATATATATACGTCTATCATTTCCACTCCATCCCCCTATATAACTATCAGTTTATAAATCTTATTATTACTTAATAAATTTATATTCATGCAGTATTTAACATTAAAGAACTTATAATTAGACTGTACTGCTGTAGCATGTATAGTATTTAACAGCATAATGCTTTAATTTTGAAGGGTTTTTTTTTCCTTTAAAGGACTCAGCTGCTGAGAACTTTCTTAGTACATATACTACGAAAATCGAAGTTTATCTTTAAAGCTAAGCCAAATACCTGAAGAGTGATGTATTTTAGTGTTGAAACCATAAAAACTAAGAATGAATTCTAAAATGACACTATTTAGAAGGGTTATATATTTGTCAGTTAACATGCCAGAGAATGCATATTTTCTAAGATATCTTAATTCAACTTTTTTAATCGTGTAAACAAATCCAATAGACACTTCTACACACCTACGCCGAATCATACAACAACTAAAAATATTGGTTGCACACTATTTTTGTTAGAGAATACATATAACACCTTTTCTTTTTATCTCTTTTCATAATTTCATATTTATGTATCTTTTTTATTATTATTAAATTTATCGTACAATTTATTATACAACTAACATTATTTTTTTGTTACACATTTTTTCACCATTTTTATAGGAATAAAATGAAAAAAAAAATCAAAAATAGAAGTGCATAAGAATTATTTCATTAATGAATGAATAGTGATATACTATATTTTTCCTTTCATATCTTTTCTTATATTTTTTGTTCATTGCATGACATATTATATTTGTCGGTTATTTTTCCGATCTATTTCTCTCTTTTTTCTTAGTACACCAAAAAAGTAAAAACTGAGGTATACATTTTTTTCCTTGATCAATAGTATGAGCAATGAATTTTGGATATTTTACTTTTTCAAACACCTAATTAACATTTATCATTTCGCCTTTTTTTTTTGAACTAGAGTTGGTCGTTATTATACATTAAAAAAAAATACACTTTTCTGTTTTTATTTCTCTCACTGAATATCAAATTGGTTTCTGAGTATCCAGAAGTCATATTTGTAAAATATATCCCTCGATGGATGGAGAAAATTTAGGAAGACAATTTTCAGCTGTCGAAATGTCGATTTCCTTGCACACTTATATTTTGAAGTTCAAATAACAACGGCATGAACACACACACACGCGCAGAACAAGAACTTTGAGTTGAAGGCACTCCATATCTGTATATTGTTTATCACTTTTTATAAGTTTCCCTGCGAAGCATTCCTTTCTATATACATGCATATATATAGCTGTCAACAAGAAACATGTAGACATCTAGATGTGCATTCATTGACATGATATTTAGCATGTTTCACTTTTGATGAAGATGGTCTCAAATAGCGGCGCGCTTGCCTGGTCGAACCGACAATGAAATAAAAAACTTTTGGAACTCAACGATAAAGAAAAGACTCAAGAACATGTCCTCCACGACCACAACCTCAACCTCACCAAACGCAAGCGAATCCTCGTCTGAACCTAGTAAAGACCTCAACATGGGAGGGTTTATGTCTACGCAGCAACATCACCAACATGCACGCTTTGTGCCTATGTTCGCTTCATCTCCATCACCATCACCATCAATGCAAACCACAGTTTTCAATACCATGATTGAAAGGTTGCCTATGCTGGAGCATGGATCAACCATGCAACCTTCTGGAGGGTACTTTGAAGGAATAGGATCATGCTTTTCTCAAAGTGAAGTTTACAACAAAGGTTCTTATTTGGAAAACGGAGTGTTTGGGAGTGTAAATATCGGGGTAGAAGGGGATATGTTTGTTCCTCCCCTTGAGAATGTTAGCACCACTGTTAATCATAATAACCTGAGTAGCACGTGCATGGGAGAAACTAACAACAGTTACTTTGATGACATAAATAGTATCCTTAATAACTGCAACGTTGGCATAGCTGAAAATAAAGCTGGGGTGGAGAATTTGTTTCAACAAGAGTTAGCCACGGGAGAATGGGACTTTGAGGAGTTCATGAAAGATATTTCCTCCTTCCCTTTTGTTGACTTTTCATTCTAATTGTTCTCCCTACCGATTTTCTTTCGTCATACTGGTTGATCAATCTCCACACAGCCTTGTATAATATGCAAGTATTTTCGCCCTTATACAGAATTCACAAGCGAAAATGGCGTAAAGATCATAAAGTGGGTTTTGCATTTTTCAACAAAGTCTTTTCATACACATGATAAAGAAATTGAGCTCCTGTCAATATCATACTTAAAGAGACTCAGCTGTCTATCAGTTGTGAAGGACCTTATTTGTAGTCCAACATATATATTTTTCTTGATATCCATTTGATGATCATGTAATTAGTCTTGCAGGTTAATTTGTGTAGTTAACAAAAATAATTTGCCATACATGTAAAAGGAGATGTGAATAGATTGTTATACGTACATTATTTTTTGTTCAAGTTTTGTAAGATATGTAGTACTTATTGTGTGTGTGTATATATATATACACACACAATATGCGCATAGTTTTAACTTGGAATATGTAGTTATGCTCAAGACAATACTACTAGTCTGTTCCAATATATGAAAAGTTTCGTACATGCACTGATCCCCAATTTTCAAATTGGATGCCATTAAGTTCTCGTATGGTAATAATTGATTCTGTTCTTAAAATCTTGAAAGCAATCAAATTTGCTTTCATGATTGTTTATATACTTGGAAAGATTAATTAATGATAAAAGTAAGTCCACTTGGTAGAAAATCACGGTTAATGGGTACTCAACTTTCGAGAATTCATCATACTATATGGATGTTAGTTAAGCTAAATGGTTGAAATTCTAAGAGTAATTATAACTTCGACGATTTCAAGCTTGAAAGATATCTAAATATAATTATTATATTTGACAAACGGAAAATATGCCGTAGAATATAGGGCAATTATCAATAAGTGAATATAATTAAAGTAACTTAATTTGAAATGGACAAGTAACGAGAATTGGCTCGTCAATATGTAGAAAGATAAGAAAAGGGGTAGTACTTTTTTGTATCATTTTCCACCATACCACATAACTAATGTGTTTTTATCAATCATTTCAATTGGACGGTATATTTTATAACTTCACTGCGATCTTTTGTTATACTTCCCTCTTCTTCAACCTTACATATATATTCTCATAACAATGTTTATGACTTTTGAAGCTGACAAACAACGGCACTATATCTAACAATGCAAAATCATTTTTTTTTAGGGTTAACAGACTGAGATGATCTCTAGTTGGTAAGACTATATATCATTAAGGATGAGACTTGCTTGTTGATGTCTATGACCTGATTAACCCAGGTTAAGCCAATCAAGCTTATTATTTACTAAATGAGTTAGGAGTTTTAGAAATTTATGTATCAAGTTTTTTTTTTTTTTTTTTTAATTAGGAGATATTCAAATTAAAAGTTTTCATCAACACTTAACAAATTAACCTATTTGAACAAATATAAACACTACAAAAAGTGTCTTGCAGTGACATACACACCATATAATAATATAATATTTATCAATAAAAATTATTTTTATATATACTATAAATACAATATATATATAGGTATATTGTTAAAAAGTATAAGTATATGGTATAATATAACACAATATATATTATTAAATCTCATTCAAAATCAATATTAAAATTATGTGTGAGTATATGTCAAATAAATTAATATTTATATATATTATATATAATGATATTTTTTGTATGTTATTATAAGTAACATTTTTTATAATGAAATAATTATAAAAAATAAATATAAATAATAGTATAATTATTATTATTGTTTTTTTTTTCACTATAAAAGTTTGATATTAAAGTGTTAATTTATTTGAAGGTTTAAGTCCACTAGCTTGGATATAAATTTAGGCATATTAATCAATTTAATTATAAGCAAATTGTGAATAGGAATGAAATAGATAAAATGGATAGTAGCTTCCCGTCACTCATTCTATTTAGTGCAAGTATCTATTTAATGGATATCTATAAAAATTTTATATACTTGCGGATATCCTTGATTATTTGTTGATATTTAATAAAATTAAAATTTTAAATAAAAAGATAAGAAATAAAATTAAACTAAAATTAAATAATTTTAAAACTTATATTTATATTAAAAAATGAATTTGGGACATATTTATACTAAATAAATAATTATGATACATATTTAGTGTAAAAATAAATTAAATTAAACTACTTTATATATAACTAAGAATATTTTTAATATTTTTTAAGGTGCATGTGTTTGCAGGACAAATATCTTACTACCTATATATGTTCCATTATTTAACAGATAACTATTTAATTATTCATTTAAATATCATAACAAATTTTATCCTCAAAATATCTGTCGAATTTTTTTTGCTATCTGAAACACTTAAAAGATATTATTATAAAATATTAGTTTTCATGTTAGACAAAGCTTTTATATATATATATATATATATATATATTAGATCTTTAAAAGAAATCTTGATAAGCCAAAGATATATATAACCTAACTTAGTTGATACTATACTTTTAC